GAATATGGTCCATATTTTTTTTTTATAGGTGAAACATAAGAACTATTTATGCAGCTACACTCTTGCCACAAAAACTACACTACGTAGCTGCTCCCGACGCTCTCGAGCAATCTTTCATTTCGTTTTGTTTCGTTTTTTTTAGTTTCAGTTTATTTTCCTTTGTCATTATAGGCCTATTATCATACAAAACAGTATAATTACAATAAATTGAAGGAGGCCCATATAGGTCATCGACACTTAAAAAAAGTAAGAAAACTACAAAAAATAATTTACAAGTTAAAAATTCGGAAAAGAAAATAAGTGTAAAAGTATAAATGGCAGATATACTCAAGACGAGATGTTCTGAATGTAAGAAGGTTTTTTTAAAAAATCGTTGGTCTCAAACGAAAATGAAAGTAGAGATATTGTCGCGTCATATCAATAAATTCAAGAATAAAATTGTACAGACTCTTAAGCTGGAGGCTTTCTATTTTCTAGGCTTGGCATTAGACAATAGTCAGCGATATCACAGATCTAGATTTTCCATACAATTGCTAATGAGAGTCACCCACGACTGTTGGCGATAGCTTGAAGCAATTTTACGGAAACCAAGTTTTATACTGCTCTTTTGAATACTTACAGATGTTGAAGTCTTGTAAGACCTTTGAAAACACCGTCTTCCAATGAAGATATATTGTTGTCCTGAAGATATCTAAACCAATAACAAGATAATGAGATAGTGAGAAGGGACACACACATACAGACAGCAGACACAAAGACAGACGTGCGCTGTTGCAATACCCTCGCCTCTCCTTTGGAGAGACGAGGGTAATCATAAGCCGGGAAGTTAGTGTTGCCATCGTTGCCATCGTTCCGGGTCTAGTCGTAGATATTTGTTATAGTTATGAAACCATATATTATATTTGCTTGGAAGAAGTAATGTCCATGTAATGTTGATACATTGAGGTGTCCCCGTCTAATCAATCAATCAATCAATCAATCAATCAATCAATCAATCAATTCATCAATCAATTTAGTGATTCATTCAATAGTCATAGTAGCTTTTCCATGATTCGTTTTGTTCTTAATTTGGTACTTTTTAAATGTGTGTTTTTAATATGCCTAGATTTAAAATTTGAATGTATTTTAAGGATTTTTATTGTGTTTGTTTAAAAAAGTGATAATGATGAATAATGATGAATAAAGTGTTATATATGTTGTAGAGTGCATTAATATTTTATACAAAGTTATAGAGTACCGGTACTATGTAAACTATAAAATATATTAAAGATACTATATAGAAAAGTACACTACTTGTATAGAGATTTTTATGTTCTGTACATATATTTGAACATTAGACCATAGACTTCATACTTTGTGAGGCTTGTGTAGAGGAGGTGAAGAAAATATGTGTTGGAGTATAGTGGAACGTTATAAATTGTTGATCAGTTTCAGGGGATATTCTCAAAAAGAAAAAAAATAGCGGTATAATTGGTAAAACGTTATAAAATATCTTACAGATTTTGGAGATTCTGCATATTTTCAAAATATTTAGGACGTATTGATCGAATGCCACTTGCCGAAACATCTCTGAAAAAAATATAATATAAGGTAGACATTTACAAAATTATTTGTTGTTTGTAAGATTTGTTGTTTGTAAGATCTTAAAATGTTGTTTTACAAAACAACATTTTAAGATCTTACATCTATGTAGAACGTGTACTTCACATACAATTATCTGCGCATGCGGCTACGTCAATTATCGTTTTATCGTTGCCATTTAGACCTACGCTGTGCAGAGGAAGCACGTCGATCTTGTAAACGGACTTGAACTCGTTCTGGGTTCATGTCGTCGCGCGAATTCGAAAGTTCGGATGTAATGTCTTTGCATAACCACAAAATAGATCATCATCAAGAGTACTGCCTAAATATTTGACCGAGTTAATTCTATCAATTTTAATATTATTAACCTTTTAGTAATTTCCTTCTAGTACCTATTATAACTAATGGCTTCTTTGGTATTTTTCATATCCCGAAAACAAAAAATGGTAAAGATAGATCAATTTTAAAACCAAGATCATTTAAAAAAAATATTACTGCAACCTCCATGCTGCAACGTTTGTCTAAACTTATCTATTGCGATGAATGTTCTTATCTTTTTAGCAGTTCTAAAATGCAACAGAGTCATTGTCAAATATAATATATATATATATATATATATATATATATATATATACATGAACATGTATATATATACACGCACATACATATACCCATTTCAAATACATGCACATACATTTTTTTTTTCTTAACTTAGCGTGAAATACACCCTTATCTTTCCTAGGAGTTTCACTCACCTTTATTTCTTTCTCTTTTTGTTACTTTTTATTTTTTACTCTGTTTTTTATGATATGCACCTGCATATTTACACGCATATACATACACGTATCACACCCATTATCGAATACATATACACATATACATTTTTCCTCAATTTCGTGGGAATTACACCTATTTGTTTTCTTAATTATATTTTATATCAATATAAATTTTGTTAAAAAATTGCACCTGTATAGTATGATTGTCCATCAACTTCTTGACTAATTTTTCAATGGTTTTTATCCACTTACACTTGAAATAAATAGAGAAAACTTGGAAAAGTGCCTTGACACAAGCAAAATTCACAGTGACGAGTCGAAGCATTAACCTACTCCAAAGATGAGAGCCGAATATCTAAAACCGCATCAACCGCTTTCTTGTTAACATATTCATTACATAACGCTTACCATTTGTATTCCTATATAATACGTAATATTATTGCCTCATTGAAATGGCATTATTGAAAAATAAATATTTGTGTAACCACTGAAATTATATGTATAATAGCTATGATTGTGGATAGTTTATTTCAACTGAGTATATTCAAGATTAATGATAGTGTAGGAGTTTTTATCTATTTATTTATTTATTTTTTTGCATTATGTTACTTACAATATTCCAATGAAATTCAGAGCACTTGTGTTTATAAAAAGGCGTTCATCGATGTATTCATTCGAGCCACGAGAAACAACTCTACTCAAGTTTCTGGAAATGAAAAACGTAATCATTATCATTGTTTAAATTAAAGATTAAATTTTCATTTTTTTTCCAATTCCAAATATTTGAAATTGGAAATTATGACCTTCCCCTGGGGACTCACGGCAGCCGCAGAGCGACGCTAGTACCAACCGACAAATAATGGATCCTCCCGTTTAAATATACATTTAAACTAGACACGATCACGACACGACAATGACATATCATCGCGTAGTTTGTATTCTTCAACACTGCGCGCATCTGTATTGTGCCGTTGTCGTGTCGTAATCGTGTCTAGTGTAAATGAAGCTTAATCATGAGTTGGGTTATTTGAGGAACAGAGCAATCTGACTGCAAGTAAAACTCGACGATAGCCTGGTTCGAACCGGGGTTTTCAGCGCAAGAAGCATGAACAACATCTCTCAGCCAAACGCTTTACTTAAATAAATATAAACATGTCAATTATCTATAAGCATTATACTTGCGCGATCGAATTTAGTTAATTACAATTATAATGAAATAAATTTATCAATTAATAATTTGCTGATAAATGGGACTGTCAACTTATACTACCACTTTAAGGATTATTAGCAGTAGTTTTACACCTGAAGAAGTTTTACACCTGAAGAAGTCCACTGCGTGGTCGAAAGCTTGTGATTAAATAAATTTGTCAGTCTGAAAAGTGCTGTTTGTCGTTCATTTAGTTTTACAAAGTTTCTTTTTATTACAATGAATCAATATTTTATATGATGTAGGCGTATATTAATAATGCAGCATACAAAAACAAGATGGAAGATATATTTTTTGATTGATTCTTAAACATGTAGCATATTAAACCTGGGTTTGTGATACTTCATTACAGAATAATATGCTAGTATTTTGATATTTAAGCATTTTAACGCGAATTTGGTGTGTTTTGGCGGCACTAAAATATTGTATCATTGCAGAAAAATAAAGGTTAACAGAATCCCAACAAATTGAAATTAGCATAATAATTACTCCATTAAAATGCTGCAATCTCACCACACAATCAATTTGAAAACACAATCAGAGTAATTTGTGGTAATTTGTAAAAATAACAAATATTTCATTTACTATGGTAGCCAGTAACCTGATTGACATACGAATAGTAATGTTCATGAGCGGAATGTAGAGAATATCTACAAAACATTTCTTTTGTTTGTTTTTATACTGTAACACACCTAAAATAGATCCTTGTCATTTGGATTTTAGGAAAAGAAGTTTTTTTTTTTCGAAGTGGAATGTACATCTTCTTTCAATCAATAAAAACATTGTACGAAGCTCATGTGTGCAATGAAACGAATATAACAAAAATTCAGGAATTAAACTATATTTTTATATGAAAAGTGATGCGAATAAAAATTACTGGGTTTTTTACCATTAAATAATGTGTCACGTGATATGAAATACATCAATCAAATGACAAAGATCTATTAAGGTTCTATTAACATTCATTCTTTAAGTATTAGCCAAAATACGATGGTAGACCGTCACAATGATTATACAACCGTTTTGAACTGAAATAAATGTTTATGCATACAAGAATCTTATTTCAGATGAGATAAAATTAGCCTTATCGGCAGTCCAATCAGTTCCAAAGCAAATAAACGAAAGTCCATCGCAGATGCATCCATCAGGACATGTTACATCTGAAATAAAATTTAAATATTAAACCTAGTAATTATGAAAACAATAAACGTAATAATTTTTTTTCATTCAAATTAAACAAATTTTAGAGAGGATATTTCATGGTATATATGTATAAATTAATAAAATTAGAGTTATTCCTCCACCATATCCCTGTATTATACTACAATTATTTTCACTGTCATTTTCCCATAAGCAGGCTTCCCTTGCCGCAGCACCTTCTTTCTCACAAATTTCACAGTTTTTTATTACATGAAATAAAGTAAAATTAAGCAGATTTAATTCCTTAAGTCTCGTAAAGTGGCAAGCATATATTAAATACTGGGTTTATTCACTCCATTCAAATACCTATAATAAAACATTATTATAGGCAGAAAGAAATCAAAAATTTAACCCAAAAAAAACACAGAGTACATGATTAAATTCGATTATTTAAAAATAATAATTTCAGTTAAAAAAAGAACACATCCAATTATGATTTTACAACTACAACAGAGAAACATTTACATTGACCATTTACATCATTTATACAAAAACAAAAATATGATTATGTAGTTTTAGGTGTGTAATTGAGGAACATTCTTGTATTGTACATTTGAGATTAACATAATTTTTTTGTGTATGTGTATTTTGAATAATAATAATATATAATAAATAAGATTCGTATTGCACTAATATCCATCTTAAAGAAATGCTCAAGGCGCTTAAGGAAAATCTCAACAAATGAGCTAGCCTACAAACTATCCAGAAGCATTACCGCTCCGTTTAGCAGCACGCTGAAGCCCCAGAGAGGAATGTGGTTCGAAAATCAGTAAATATATTTTAATGTTTTTAATACGATTAACTTAAAGGTAATTCTTTTCGAAATCTGTAGCCAATGAAGTTGCTAAAATACAGGTGTGATGTGTTCATATTTCTGTGTGGCAGTTATGACTCGGGTAGCTGTGTTCTGTAAAAGTTGAAGGCGATGAATAAGTGATGCTTAGATTCTAAAGGAGAGAATCACCCATATCTAAGCGACACGTGACAAAGGCATGAATAATCTGCTCTGTGTAGCCGATTTGAAAAGATAACTCCTGATTTTAATGATATTCTTGAGGTAGTATTATGAAGTGGCAGTGACACCAGCAGCATCATTTTTCATTGACTACATCCATATTACCAACATGTTGGACTGGTTCAATGACAAAATCAGCAACACTAACAGGCGGAGACTGACACATTAGCACCTGCTTGTAGGACCCCAACATAATAATTTCTGTTTTGATTAGTTAAGCTTCAAGAAACTGTTTCTCATCCAGAGTTTAAAGTCTGCAATACATCTTTCGATATACTTCATTGCAATATAAAATTGTTGTACTGGCTTGAAAGAACCAAAAATCCAAGTGTATGAGTAAATAATATAAACTTTGATCGACTGTGAGCCAAGAATTGAAACTCCGAGAAATTGAAAAGTCATAGACAAAAGGGTTTGTAACTGCATTACCAACACACACCATCTGGGGCCGTTTATCAAGATACGAACGACCGTCAACAAAATTTCTTAAGGGGAGGATGTCAATAAACCCTTGGATTTCTCCGATGGAGTCAAGGCAGGTGTCCTTATTCCCGAAACCATAAGTTTATTGAATTTTCTGACATTCAAACCCCCAGACCCTCGACACTTACGCGGTACAGTTCAATGGCGGTTTCGAATTTGTCCCAAGAACCGGAAACGATACTTGTCTGAACAGGAATGGCTACTGGCATTCGACGACTTCGCCACGGTTTACTAGGCTGCTAGTCAGGTCCCAGGTGTGAACCTGCCTTTTGGCCTTTTCAGAGCATCCCATTCATTTTCATCATTTTTGTTCCGCTTTGTTTTAATTTTATTTTCATACGTTCATGACGTGTAGTTGATAATGCGTTTCAATTAAACATTTTTGAATGCTAAATTTGAGCTTGATTTTTATATTCTCGTCTCTGTGTCAAATGGGAAAATTGAGGGCGTCCAAGATTTGAATTTTGACACTAGGCAAGGCAGGGTTTTCTTTCTCTCATTGATCTGATCTCAGAGAGAGAACACCCGCCTCAGCTCGTCGTAAGATTTTTGTCAGTCCCTCCCATCCCATTCTTTAACATGGAATTTTCAGAGCATTCCATTCTTTTTCATTTGTTCCGCTTTGTTTTAATTTGTTTTAATTTGATTTCGAAACACGTGCATGGCTTGTATTTGACAATGCGTTTCAATTAAACATTTTTAAATGCCAAATTTGAGTTTGATTTTTATTTACTCGTCTCTGTGTCAAAATAATATGTAAGACGAGTCAACAGAATGTGTTGATTAGTGGCATCAAAATTTGATGCATTTAATGCAACACTTATATCTAGTAGAAGTAATGTACAACCATTGCCTTTGTCCATGGTTTGCAGAATATCATTGCTGACCTTAACAGGAATAAAGTAGGATCAGCTTTAAAAAAACAAAAACAAAAACAAAAAAAGAACGAATTTGTTTAAGACTATCGTCAGCTTTGCAATGAGATAAGACCCCATCATTGAAAACTGTAAAGCTTGTAGAGAGCGTCTGTCACAGGCATTGAACTCAGAACCTTAGGATTGGAAGGTAAGCATCTTAACCACCAATTGTGTTCAACTACACTCAATGGAACTATTATTAATACTGTATTTCATTAGAAGACATGCATTATTATATTCATAGTAAAAATATTATTTTAACTTACTGCAGAAAAGTTCATCATCGCCACGTATGCAATCCTTGATACCATTGCAAATGTCGAATTGGGAAATACAGTTTGTGGCGTCTTGACATTTAAAATATCCGACACAATTATAATAGTCTTTACATCAGAGAAATAAAAAAAAAAACACAGGTTCAGTAAAACACCAATTGTTTGATCACAACTGCATCTTTCAGTATACGTCCATTATGGCATTCAATAGGCCTATATGTAAGGTGATTTTTAGCCTGAGAGAAAGCCTAGTATCTGCTCTGAACACTGAAAATATAAACAGTAGAATCTATCCTTTGGGACACAGATATTATGAGGCACTCTTTCGGCCAGAAAACGAAAAATAGGCCTATGTATTTTTTAACACTAGAGCCAACCTTATTCAGAGGACATCCCTATGAAGAGGACATTTCTTTAGCCCCAAGGGGTTTTACTGTATTTTTTGTAGCACTGTATGATTACTTTCTGCACCTGGACATTTATAGCAGTAATTGACCTTTCTGAGTATCAACCAAGCTAATAATACGAATAAGCGTTTGTCCCACTTACGCACATGTACTGTCTGACAAACGCACATGCGTATGTACGTTTACGTCATTGTTTTGTGGGACCTTAGCAACAGAGAATGAAAAATAATGTCATTGGCCAGTTCACTTGCCATCGTTAGACTTCCATCTATGCCAATTATTTTGTAAAGTTGTGTTTATAACAGATCAAGTATTTACCACAATATTGTTCATCTTCTCCATCATGACAATCGTTTATTCCGTCGCATCGGCTTTTGATCGGAATGCAGTATGAGTACGGACACTTATATGTATGAGCAGGACATGCAAATAAAACTGTGTGAAACATAGAATATACATTTAGGCCTATATAAATGCTCTGTCCACGCATACAATAGAAATAATGTTTATGTCCCCAGCAGCATGAGGCTATAGTGACACTGAAATGTAATATACGTGTTGTCCTCATCACTGGGTCCGTAATTGGCAAATTAAACGGATATAACGTAAATGTTTGCAATGCGCCCTGAAGAATATTACTAGTCACGCTACAATTAATGATACGCCGCAAAACCACGTAGCATACAATGCCACAAAAATGAACATGTTTGTTTGTGAGATTCCAAATAAATTCATTCAAATCATCAAATAAAATTCACTTTTTGTCAAAAATCTCTTCTGTTACGTTGTGCTGTTACGTTGTTGAAACGTATCAGATTCTTTTTCTGATACGTTCAGAGGTAAAGGCGTTTTATGGTTACAACTCAAGTTGAGGAGATCGATTGTTGGGATGAAATGCCATTAAATAGTGGGTTAGCCATGTTAGTCTGAACTATACCAACAGTAATGAGACATTTTTTAGTTTGCGCTCACGAGCCACCGGGATGAATAAAACAGCATCATCGAGTATTGCACAGCGTCTTTATTATAAAATAGTAAAAAATCTACGTACCACAATGATTTAGGTGACTGCGATCCTGACAGCCTCGAATTTTTCCAAATTCATCCATTTGAAGCTGACAAATGTATTGCTTGTCCGCACAAAGATGGTTACTGCATCGAATCTCGTTAACACCGCATGTTGATGTATCCATGTGAGCTGTTTCAATAATTGTTTAAATGTTAAAAGATTTTGTCTTATCAGTGATCATGGTAAAGTACTGTATATATATATATATATATATATATATATATATATATATAATATGTGTATAGCAGATAATATAGAAATTAACTATCACGGGATGGGCAGGTTTTGCAGGCACGTAGGCCTACATTACCTGGGCAAATAATTTTACATCAACAGACTGCCTTGCGGCCCAGTAGTCAGAGTTAGCCCTGTACCCACACGTGGTCAAGTATTGATAAAAGATGTCATGCGGTCTCGGAAGTTGTGGTGACTGCACGTTATATACTACAATGAGTATGCAAATAATCTAGCCCGGGTCCTCCACCGCCTACATATTAGTCTGGAAAACTATCTGTGAAGTAGGCCTATACTTCCTGTGATTCGTACAGAAGAACTTTATCGGTAATAGTCTTTGGGTGCAGTAGATCTTAAGCCTTACACATAGGCAACATACGGTACTACGGATACCTCGTGACATCCAACACCAAGCTTAATATAGCGAGGACATCTTCAGGGGTTTTGACAAACCCACTTCAGCAAAACCTCTTAAACTATTTTAAATAAACTACACTTACAAAAAATACTTTTTTTTCCATTAGAATTTGGCTTTTTACGATAATTTTAATTATTATCTTTATATTCAACTGAAAATGCTTTATATATTAAAGTTTACTAAAACACTCAAGCTCTATCCTCTGAACCCTAAGCCCAGGACACCACCTCAGTAGATGCTGGCCCTACGAGCCTGCAATAGTCAATTAGAAGACGGAAACTACATGTGGTGGCCGGTCGTTTGTGCGTATGTTGGTAAATTTGTGCAATAGGTACTCCGTATGATGTCAAATGGTGTGAGAAGGGAATGTGAGTAGTCCTATTATGGTGAAAAAATACTTACAACACGTTAACATTGATTCGTCTTTTCCATCATGACAGTCTTGTTTTCCGTCACAAATGTGGTTTTCAGGAACACACTTTCCATCACTACATCGCAAATATGAATCGCTACACTTTCCTGATATAAAAAAATCCACCAAATAATTCTATCAATAAAGTTCTATATGTTGAATTTTCGAGCAGTCCAAGCAGTACATTCTAACGGTGTCTGTGTAATATAGCCTTATTCAGTAGCAGTGGCGTATCCAAGGGGGCGTGGGGGGGCGCACGCCCCCCCCCCCCCCCCCCCCCCCACTAGGCTTATGCTTATGCTTATGCTGTCACGGTTAACGTGTATTTAGGAATCTAAGAAGCAATATTTTTCAGTGGGCGTGGCCACGGAAAATAAATTCCACGCCCCCTCATATTTTGGTCGCGCCCGCCCCCCCATTTTAATAATGCTAGATACGCCACTGTTCAGTAGGATTAAAATGAGTCCGAACTTGAAAATTATAATATTTTGATTTTTATCATTACCTACCGCACTTTAACTCGTCTGTTTTATCAATGCAATCTGGTATACGATTACACCTCAGTAAGGATTCCAAACAACGACCATTGTCACATTCATGATCGGATTTTCCACATTCAGGAAATACTGAAAATTTAAATTTAACTCATAAAATTTACGATAAGCCAATCGTGACATCACTTTACTCACCAACGTAATTTGTTGATCCCGAGCGGGAAGCGATTTTTTTTTCCGTACGAAACATTTGCATGAAATTTCACTCGGGCCATCTCGGATGGACTCGAGTGAGTACGACACGAGGAACAAGATCAGACACTTCGCAATGTCGTGACGCTCGAGTTTTACTGACGCTCGAGTTTTACTATTACAGTACTGTATTGCTCTTTCTATGTTTACCTACGGTAGGCCTATGAAATCTCACGGACTTATGGGATGTACGTGTGTAACTAACTGTGACCTTCTTGGATGTTATTTGGTGATCCGCTAACGTTAGCGGATCACCTATTGTTATTGTCAGGATCATCATCATCATCTTCATCTTTTTGGTGATCCGCTACACTAGCGGATCACCTATTGTTATTGTACGGAATCATCATCTTCATCTTCTTTTTTTGGTGATCCGCTAACGTTAGCGGATCACCTATTGTTATTGTCAGGATCATCATCTTTTTTTGGTGATCCGCTACACTACCGGATCACCTCTTGTTATTGTCAGGATCAACATCTTTTTTTTCTTATTCTTCTTTCTTTCTCCCATTTTCTGTTCGCACGATATCTCAAAAAAATGCCACGAGTTACGCACAATCGCCTGTCTCTTATACACATCTAGATGTGTATAAGAGACAGTATTTAATTGATCATTATGGACTAAAAGACTAATAAACCCACTAATTTACCAATATCGAAAGTATTTCAGCGCCTGGTCTACAAGTAACTCTTGGACCACGTTTATCCTTACATTGCTACAGAACAACATGGCTTTATACCCGGTAGATCGTGTGAGACCAATTTGATAACGCTTAACTGCATATAAAGCCATAGAAAAAAGTAAACCGGCTGCTTGGGCTGATGTGAAGAAATTGCCAAATTCTTACACCACCTGAAAAATTTACTATAGTATATACACATTGTTAATTACTCCATCCCTTGATTCTTGTTCAGTTATCTACAATTCAATATCTCAGACTCATGCTACTAGAATATTGTTTGAACTCCAAGTCGTTACCTTGATTCTAATTTTATTTTCATGTACGTGTGCGCAAGCTTCGTATTATGATAATCATTTGTTAAAAGTTCAGTATTATTGTGTTAATGTTTGTAATAATGGTTTTTTCGTCGTGTTGTGCTTTCTTATAATAATTTAGTTCAAATGTTTCCCAATATCGATATTTTTAATTGTAATAAACATAACCTTTAATGTAATTTTCAATAGTTAATGTGTGCAAATGAATTTTAATGTAATTTATGTATTTGCAATCTTTACACATATCATATATATCATATTGTATTTTTATGGTGACCCTGTTTTTGGTGTTTTGACTTGGGTCTTGAATAAATAATTGAAATAAATAAAAATATAAATTCTAGAATATAGTTATATAAAAAAAGTTTTAATGTTTTGCAACTTTGTCCAGGTTTCATAGGAACACGTCACACACATGTTATAATAATAGTAATAGTACGGTAATTATAATAAACTTACTACAATTAATTTCATCAGAATTGTCGGGACAGTCTGGCTTATGATCGCAATAGAATGAATATGATATGCAGTGACCGGAAGCACATGTAAAACTAGTAGCTGGGCAATTCAGTTGAGAGTCTTCAGCTGAAAAGTAGTACCGTAGTAAAAAAAAATATAAGATAGTATAGTACATACTCCAACTATCTAAATGCACGCCTTCGTATCGGGATTGTTGGCGTGCATTTCGATACTTGGAGTATTGTACTATTTTATCTGAGATTAAATCAGTTTTTACAAATGTATGGGCGAACAGGGGTGGCGCCATAATTTGCCCGACGGGGGTGGGGGTGGGGGGTTAAGGCGAGGTCCCCGACGTGGGACCGATGCCCCCGACGAAAGCAATGTGGGCGTGGTCGAGCTTCGATTGAAAGGTTTCGAAAGTGGTCCGAAGGCGAAGCCCCCGAAAATTTTAACAATTTAGGGGTTTTAAAGTCTTATTTAATCGATTTTGGAGTCTACTAATATGTAGAAAATACATATAATTTTTTTCGTCCCCGACGAATTGTACTTTTTCTCCCTGACGGGAGGAGGGGGAAAGCTCTCCTCGCTGGCGCCACCCCTGTGGGCGAATGTCAGCGGCGGTTAAGGCAGGGGCCCGTAACCTACAGCCATAATATCGGCGCTGGATATA